AAATTGCTTTTCGTGTTGACAAGACCGGATACGGTAGGTACTCATGTGCGATTAGAGGCGAACAGCGCAGACGTACACAATCTCGTACAAAAACTGATTATCATTATAAAGATCAACGGAGTTCCTGTAGGGAACACCCTCATTAATTCAACGATAGGATTATTTGCCACTGAAAATCCCTCAAAAAAAGGCTAAATAAAGTTATATTAAGGGCAAAAAGAAAGAATAAGCAACTAAGCGCTGGATGTCAAGGTTTAGGCAGTGCGGAGTGACGAAAAAAGTAAAGAAAGATGAAAACGCGATAAGGCCAATCGCGGCCGCACCAACAGCGGGTAACTACTTTGCGCCACCAAAATTACGCACAAAGACATAGACACCTTGGCAGAATAACATTCAGTGAAACTTATAAAGCAGCAGAATTTTGTAAAATCTTACTTACCGGTTGCAAGCCAGGATACATCACCGGGAACGGTAGGCCTGCTTGTGCAGCCATGGCACGAAATGCATCAGCTGGCCCTGCACCAGGCATCCCTGGAAAGGGAAATTGACCGGCAAACAGCGGATTGCCGGCGGCGAGAAAGCGCAATGCGTCAGCGTTCAACTCAACACCGCCACCTTCCGGTTTCATTGGTGTGGCCGCTTGGGTGAGAAGCTGAAATGAAAGTGAATTAAATGATAATCCATCATTTTAAAATTTTTTTGTCTGGAATGCAATTGGAACAAATTCCTTGATGTAAGGTCAAGGTAATACAATTAATACAAGGAATTTAAATGCAAAATTAATACAAGAAATTTAAATGCAACTACAAATGAAAATGGCCTCATAAGCTTCAAATATAAATTTTTGATTAGTGAGGAAGGTTAAAGACAAAAAAAGGGTTCACTTCTTGAAGCACAACCGCTGATATTCAATGACCGAAAAATTGACTGTAAGCGAAGTTAGGGGAGCTTAAAGAAAAGCTACCACAGCATAAAAGTAGTGAAATACAAATCTGCCTTAGTTTTTTTTGAATTTGATCTATCTATGTAATTTCAAAGGGCCAATCATTGTAGCTTATACCCAAAGAAATCTCAAAAATGCTAATCCACAAAAAAAAATCGGCACTTTTCTTTTATAAACAGAATCAGACACATCAGTAAAGAAATTATCTAATCGGAATAACATGGAAGCGAAATTAAGATTAGCGGCTTAAATGCAGACATTAATAATAAGGGCTTAAAGGAGTGCATACGAGATTATAGAATTTTGTAAAGCAATTTAAAAAATTCGTAGTAAGAAAAAAAGAGGAAGACGATGGGATTACTGAAAAAACTTTTGAATAAACCAAAAAAGAGGTTTTCACATAAACTTTATGCTTCCAGGAATTTAGGAAATAAAATATTAGCAAACAGCTATAACGATGTGATGCAATTTCTCAAATGGACACTTTTTCTAGAGCTTTTTTTC